TTCTTGGCCCCATAGGGAGCTCCACCGAAGGCCCCAGTGGCTGCGTTCGCATGGCGGCACCGCACCAATTTCGGCACACCCCTCACACGTTTCGTGGCCCCAGAGGGAGCTCCACCGAGGGCCCCAGTGGCTGCGTTCGCATGGCGGCACCGCACCCATTTCGGCAAACCCCTCACACGTTTCGTGGCCCCTTAGGGAGTTCCCTCTCATTCGTTCAACCTGCTTTGCGGTACTTGTAACTGCATATGGTTGGGTCCATCGCCAGGATGATTTTTTTTGACTAGCAACATCATCGACATCCTAACATCATTATCATCCTCCTCAACGTCCTTTATGCTGCGATCTCCGGGAAAACGTTTGTTATCCGCGTGGGGCCCGAACTTTATTCTCCCCAGGGTTTCAATACCAGGGGCATGCGGTCACCCATTTCGCGATACCATTGCTGTACATGTTGTTCGTGATGCAGTGGGGCTGTCATTTGCTATTCCGTAGTGAGCGGAGCGAAGACTTCTCGTGGCGTTCGCCCAAGAAGGGCTTGTTGTCTTGTCCAAAACGGTATGGTGCAAGCCCAGACAATGCGGCGCACACCAGTGGCAAAGCAAACCGATGCATGGCAGTGCATACATACATACGCACACACACATATATGCATACAGGCCAGCAAGACAGCAACTCGATCCAACTTACAGCAGGCCAGCAAATGCAATTGAAAGCGATGCGACGGAGTACATGGTAAACCAAATCGAGCGATACAGAGCTATGCAAAGCAACGCACTGGATCGCAGCTAAGTGAAACGTATGCGCGAGTCAACGCAATGCATTGAAAGCGCTTCACCTCGAAACAGCGGTTCGCTAAAACCAGAGCAAATCAACGCAAAGGAATGCACGTGGTTGTAAAGCATTTGAGCGCAATATGATATAACGCAATGCAGAATCTGATGCAATGGAAAGTGCGATGGCGAGACATGACCGAGAATGTTGTGCAGGACGACATGGGTTGCTAGGCACGTTGGGCTGACACATCCCTTGGAGGGGGGCAGCTAATCATCCCACACGCCTTCGCACTCGCCGCAAGTGGCTGCAGGCGTTGTCGGACTCAAGGCAGAACTGTTGGCAGCACAACCGTCCGGGTGGGTGTGCCGAGGTTTCGTCCGGTGCCCGCCTCGTGGCCGCCTCGTGGCAGCCTCGTGGGCGCCTCGTGCGCCGAGTGGGTGTGCCGAGGTCTCGGCTGGTGCTCTCTCTCCCCCGGCCGGTTGGTGGTCGCCCGTGTGCGCCTCGTGGGCGCCCCGTGCGGTTGGGCAGGTCGGCCGAGGTTTCGCCCGGTGCCCGCCGATGGCTGCCTCGCGGGCGCCTCGCGCGTCTGCCGGGTGGTGTGCCGAGGGGTCGTCGGGTGCCCGCCCGTGGCCGCCCGTGGCCACGTCCTTCAGCGCCTCATGCGCGGGGCGGAGCGCGGGGCCAGCTTTGCTCGCATCGCTGGGAGTGGGAGGTCTGAAGTGCGCACAGCGTAGCAGCGCGTGATCGTGAGAAGCATTGCAGTCTGACGATGTAGAAGTCCACGTGTGAGGCCCTGTGGGCGCCCTGGTGGGCGTCTCGAGGCCTCGTCAGAGTTCCCTGGGCGCTCGCTGGCCGTGTCTTGGACGCCGTCGCGCGCAGGGGAAGCCTTCCAGTGTCCAGGGGCGTGGGAGGAGTGGCCGCCTTGCACTCGCCACCCCGCGCTTGGGGCTCGATCACCTTGCATCTTTCGGGAGGGACCACTGAAATATATTGGGTCTCGCCCATGCAGCGAATTTGGGGAATCGGAGAATGAGGGAATCGGAGAATGAGGGAAAAGGAGGCACAGGATGAAATAGATAACGACGGCGGTGAGAGGAGGGAGGACGGTGAGAGGAAGGAGGGACAGGAGGAAGATATCGAGGACAACGGGACGGTTTGTAATGTTCCTCGGGCTTTGTTTGAGGCCCCCCCCCGTCGTGCAGTTGGGGGGCGTCTTTGGGGATTCTCGGGTGCGTTCGAGGGGTCTCATTTGGGGCATCTTTGAAGCCTCCTGGAGCTGATGGGGCCATCTCCAGGGCCTGCTTGCGGCCTAGGCTAGGCGGCGGCCCCCTGGAGTTTTGTCAAGGCTCCCGAGAGGTTGGGAGGCCGTTTGGCGGGTTTTTGTAAGCCTCGTGGAGCCGGTCGCGGGTCTTTGGGGCCACATGCTGAGGGAGGTCTCCCAGGGCCTCAGCGGGTTCTGCCTCTTCGGCCTATCTTGGAGCCCATTTGGGGCCACATTCCCTTTCTGTGCCGCGTTAGGGCCATCTCCGGGCCGTTTTGAGGGTCTCTTGGGCCGGCTTGAGCCAGTCTGGGGGGCTTTAGGCCGTCTTGATCGTACAGGCGCCAAGAGGCCAAGAACGCGAACACCATGCATCACGAATTGGACATCCATATTTTTGTTGCATCTCTTGGGTGAGGGGGTGAGGGGGTGGGCCTCTTGGGGTTTTCTTTCGCCGTCTTGGGCCGTCTTGAGACTACCTTGGGTGCTCTTGAGGCCTCTCCAGCGTATTGGAGCCCTCCTGGGGCCACTTTGGGAAGGACTACCTTGGGTGCTCTCGAGGCCTCTCCGGCGTATTGGAGCTCTCCTGAGGCCACTTTGGAAAGGACTTTGGGCTCCCGAAGGCCACGGAGGTCGGATTTTTTAGGGCTGAGCCGGGCCGTGCGGTGCAGGACCCCCCCCCCGCCCCCTCCCCCGAGCCTTCCCTTCCCCGAGGGGTGGCTGTTCGGGAGGCGAGCCGCGACGCCGCTGGCGCCCAGCTGGCGCCCAGCTGGCCGGCTGGGGCGTTTCTCCCCTTTCTTCTCCCCCGGTGGTATGAAGGTCGGGCACGTCCCCCACGGGAGGAATGTTCCATTCGTCTGCCTCTCTGCAGCGCTCTGACCCCGCCCCTCTCTCCGTCTCTCCCTCGTCCCCCACCGACCCCCCCTCATCCCCGTACTCGCTCTCCCCTCCCTCTCTCTCTCTTAACCCCACCTCGTTCGGTCTCGGCCTTCCCACAGCACCCTCGGCCCAGGGTAACGGGAGACAAGCCAGACCAGGGAACCTTGGTTTGGCAGACCGCCTGTCGCCTGAGCCATGGAGCCTCTCGCCGATGGGGAGGCCGCGAAAAAGATCGTCGGAGACAGCCCGAAGTCGGACGCCTGGATCCACACGACGAGCGCCGAGATCTTCTTCGGCGCATGGATCGTGTTGAACGCCATCGTGCTCGCGGTGGAGACTGACCACCAGGACGAGGGGAACGAGAACGACTGGTACTGGGTGCTCCTGGACTCCCTCTTCAACATTGTTTTCGGAGTTGAGGTGATCCTGCGCATGGTTGCAGAGAAAGGCAAGTGGCCCTGCCTCGCCTGGAACCTGATCGACTTCGCGCTGGTTGTCATTGGCATCGTCGACTCGTGGATCCTGCGCTTGGTCGACACTGGCGGTAATGTGGGTTTCCTTGTTGTTCTCAGGGTGTTTCGTCTTCTGCGGCTCGCACGAGTTCTGCGGGTGCTGCGCCTTATGCGCTCTAACAAGGAACTACTGCTGCTCATCGGTGGCATCGGGGCAGGCCTGCGGGCAATGGTCTGGGGAGCGTTACTGCTGGTCGTCGTCAATTTCATTTCTGGCCTTGTCATGACCGAGGTTGTGGGCAAAGACATGATCGATGGCTGGTTCTTGCTGAACACAAGCGAGGATGCAATTGCGGAAGAGGGATCCGTTGCGTTCTATCAGGAGAATTTCACTAAGTTATACATCTCGATGTTCACACTCTTTGAGTTCACGATGGAGTTCCAAGGCGACCACTGCAAAGCAACTTGGCCGGACGGCCCATGGCTCACTTTCTTTTTCATCGTGTACACATTCGTCACCAACCTGGCCCTCCTCCAGGTGGTTGGGAGCGTGATCGTCGAGGCGATTCTTGCGATGTCGGAGATGAACCACCAGGAGGATCAGGCTGAAGAAAAGGACAAGGAGCTGAAGGAAGCCAAGGAGACTTCTGATGAGTTGTTCGACACGCTGAAGCAATCCGTGTCCCCCAGCGCAGGCGAACTCAAGTACACTGAGCTGGACTTCAGCAGCGACAAGGTTAGCAAGTACCTCAAGATGGTTGGCTTGGTACCGGCCCAAGCCGCTCAGCTTCTCCAAATCTTGGACAAGAACAAGACTGGCCTCCTTTCGAAGGCCGAGTTCAGCATGGGCATCGCACGCCTGAAACAGGACGTGAGTCCGAAGGACATCTTCAAGCTCGAGACCAGGCTGGAGCGTGTGAAGCAGAAGGTATCTGCCGCCTGCGCCCAGCAGAAGGAAATCATCGAGATGGCGTCACGCATGTAGGGGAAGTCATTGTGCCACCTCGATTCGAAGAATTGAACACGGCATAAGCAGACACTCTCGGAGCTCGGAGGGGGTCCGGCGCCGATCCAAGAAAGATCCGCGCCGAGCTCCGGCAGCTTGTGCTTTTGCGGTGGCCTCTTCCTCTTGGGCGAGGCACGGGATGCGCGTGAGGCTGTGAGCCAGGGCGGGGATGTACCGGTAGGATGTCGAATCTGAGCAGCGGGCGCGAGGTGTGGAGACCCTGCATGCTCGCGGCGCCTGGCCGAGCCGCGCACACGTGCAGGGGAGCAAGCAAAATGGCACAAGCACAGCAACTCGGTGGTCCGCGCGGACCTCCGAGTTTTTCTGCTTATGCCATTTTTGTGCTGTTCCCCGGGCACGATTCCACGAGCGGACACTTTGAAGGGTGCGGCTCGCGCCACAGTTCTCGGCGGCGCGCCCAGGGTGGCCCGGCATATCGCTCGGACCGGTGCGTGCTTTCTCGGCCAGGCCAGCGCCAGCACACCTGGGCCATCCAGCAGAGCACCTCGGATCACTCCGCGGACAGGCACGCGCCAGGCGTAATCGTGTTCTGATTCATTGTTTTGCCGATCGGCGCGGGCCCTCGCACCCCCCCCCCTCCCACCCCCCTGGAGTAGATCTTGGCTGTTTGGGGCGCCTGTTTCGAGCAGGTGGAGCCCCTCTTCCCATAGGACGCACAGTTGCAAACAGTAGAATTAAGCAGAGGTCCGGAGCCAGACCCCCCCCCTCTCCCCCCCTTCCTTCCGCCCACTGTCGAAACGCCGAAGAAGAAAACGCTCACAACACCGAAACATGCACATGGAATGGACGTCCGAGCGATGGCAGGGTGGAACCAGCCACGCGCAGATGGTGGTAAAGGGGAGAGGAGAAGACTTCTCAGAAACACCCCTGCTTCTCAGAAGGCGGGGGCCTTGTCTATGGATGTGGCCGGCGCCTTCTAAGAACCAGCATCCTTCTGAGAAGCTTTCCCCCCTTCTTCCGTTGTGCGCACCGCCCGTGGACGGCAGAGGGGGCGGGCCTTCTCGGGAGGCTCCGAAGGCCTACAGTGGGGGCCCATGCCAAGAAACAACCTTCTCGCCTTCAGGGTGCCCTGGGGTTTTCTTGGGTTTCGATGGTTTTGCCATGGAAAGCATGACCAGGGGAGCGAAAAATTACATAAACATAAAAACTCGGAGGTCCGCGCGGATTTCTTGGATCCGAGCTGGACCCCCCTCCTTGGTGCACGGAGCGCGCCAGGGGCGGCGCCGGAGGCGCCACCAGGGGGGCCCAGCGCCGATCCGAGAAATCCGTGTGGACCTCCTAGTTATTATGCCTACATAAGTCTTCGTTCCCCTAGTGACGTTCCCACACCAAAAGTCAATGGACGCCATGGGGTCTCAGGGTTGGGTTTCTCGTGTAAGGTTTCTTGTGGTCGAGAGCCCCTGCTGTACGCGGCCTGCTTGGAAAAGAAGCTGCCTCTGCGCCTCCTCCGAGGCCACGGGCGGCTTTTTGCTCTGCAGGCCCGCGCGGGCCCTCGATAATCCCCGCCACCCTTCGAGAAGGCTCGGCCCATCTCACTCCTCCTCCTCATCGCCCTCCCCCTCCTCCTCCTCCTCCTCCTCCTCCTCCTCCTCCTCCTCCTCTTCCTCCCCTCCTCTCCTCCTCCTCCTCCTCCTCCCCCTCCTCCTCCTCCTCCTCCCCCCTCCTCCTCCTCCTCCTCTCCTCCTCCTCCTCCTCCTCCTCCTCCTCCTTCTCCCCCTCCTCCTCCTCCTCCTCCTCCTCCTCCTCCTCTCTCCTCCTCCTCCTCCTCCTCCTCCTTCTCCCCCTCCTCCTCCTTCTCCCCCTCCTCCTCCTCCTCCCCCGTCTCGCCGCGGCCGGCTCGGGGGGTCGCCTAGGGGCCCCCCCGAGCCGGTCAAGGCGAGCCTCGGGGAGGCCAGCTCTCTGCCGCTGCCAGTGGCTCGCCTCCCAGGTCGAGCAGTGGCGAAGCGTCCTTGCTTTCCTTCTGGTCCACCAAAACATGTTCTAAGAACCTGTTGTGCTCTGCACGAACTGTTCTTAGAACATGTTTGGGTGGGATTAAAAGATACTCCTCGGGTTTACGTTCTAAGAGGATTGTGTTGGTTCTTAGAACATGTTTCGATTCTCCGAAAACTTCGTGGTAGGCCTATAGGACTGCCGGGACGGTCTGTCCCTGCTCAACCAGGGCTCATTTCCCCTCCGCTTCGATTCGATTCGATATCGATGGCTTCCGATTCCGATTCGGTTCGACTTCGGTTTCGTGTTGTTTTTGATCTCTCACTGGAGGCCTTAGTAGTGATTAGCCTGTCGAGTTCGGCCGATTCTATTTTGCCGACTTGGCTGCCGATGCCCGCCGATCCGATCCCTTTCGATTTATAACAGAGGTCGGCCATAACTGTGTTTGGGCGATTTCGTGGGCCGTTGTCGCTTCGATTTCGTCTTGCAGCAAAGGCGGATCGCAGACCGAGCGAGGAAAAGCGAACACGAAACGAAACAGCACGCAAACGAAACAGCACTGCTTGGGCCGACCCCCCCATGACCCCAGGCCCACCGATCCGATCCCGGGCCCTCCCGCCCCCCGCGCTCCCCCCGCGGCGCGCCGCCGATCCTCCTCTGCTCGCGCCTGGCTCTCTCCGGCCAGGGCCAGATTTCAATACGCCTGCTGCCAGGGAACGGGCAAGGACACCAGCTCGGGGCTCGAGAGACGGGGGTCAGTCAGGGCGCCGGGTCCGTCGTGCAGAATCCTGCAGGGCCAGGGATGATGCACGGGCCCGGGCTCGGGTGCAGGATTCTGCAGAGTCTTGTAGGATCTTTCAGGGTCCTGCAAAGCCCGACTGACCCGGGTCTGGATTGACCCGGTTCCGTAGATCCACGATCAACAGAAGAAGTCGGAGGTCCGCGTGAGTTTCTAGGATCGGCGATGGACCCCCCCCGTCCCTGGCGCACGGGGGGGCCGGAGGCGCCGCCAGGGGCGATCCGAGGAACCCGTGCGGACCTCCGAGTTTTTATGATCATGTTCTTGCTTGTTCCCCCGAATCTACCTTCTGTTTTTATCACTGCTGCGGGAACCAATGGCAAAAATCTGGAGGGCTCCGCCCCGTGCCGCCAGCCTTCCCCCCTTCGATGCAGCTCGGGGTGGGTCTGGTCGGGGGCGTCTCGGCTCTTCCTGGGCGCGCCTTCGGGAGTGCTTCGGGAAATCCCCCCAGTGGAGGAAAAGAGTACAGTGGGGACCCATGCGAAGAAACATCCTGCTTGCCTCCAGGGTGCCCTGGGTTTTTCTTGGGTTTCGATGATTCTGCTATGGACGGCGTCACGTTCTCATTCCGAAAATCGATGGACGCCGTGGGGTCTCAGGGTTGGGTTTCTTGTGGGAGGTTTCTTCTGGTCGAGCCCCTACTGAACCGCTGCTCGTCCGGACAAGCTCTGGTCGCCACAGCTGGGCCCTGCTCGAAATCCTTGTCAGAGCGCACCCCAGGAGGTCCGGGGAGTAGCGGCATCGGTGCTTTGCTGCTCCCCCAATTTCGGGGGCCTCCTGGTGCTCTTCTGGGCTATCTTGGATCCGCCTTGAGAGGCCCTATGCGGGCCTCTTGGAGTCGTGGAGGCCTTCTTGGGCAACTTGCCGCCTCTTGAGATCACATTCGGGCTATGGTTCGGCTGCACGGAAGACTGACCTTTCGCTGGCCAGACGATTGAACGCGATGCGATAGCAGCGTGCAGCGCGCCCGGGTTTGGCCTCCCCACGACCCCCGAGAGTCGAGTACCAAAGGCCACTTTTGCCTAGGGTCACTTTTGCGCGTAGCCGATATGCTGAGGCCGCCTTGTGAGCATTCAATGTGCTACTCGCTTCGCCCTCTCTGCCAGCCCGTATTGTGCCACTGTTGTTATTGGGTTGTGTTAAGAATTGTTATGCGTGAGAGGGTGAGTCCAAGAGGGGCAAGACATCTGAATGCGAAGCGACGGACGATCAGTCGATGGCGCCTCCACAATTTGGCAGTTTGCGGTCCTGTAGGAGGGCCAGTCCAAGTTCCCCATCATACCCCGAAAATTCAGCAAGGTGACGTATAAGCATGCACAGCATGAGGACATTTACGCAATTCTCATTCGTCAGGGATGTCTGCGAGTGACTTGTTCAGAGGCATCGCGCATCCTGGCGTCTCTAGGCAGTTTCTGGGTCCCACCTGGAGGTCAGTGAAGCCGGAGGCCTCGTGGGGGCAACTTGGGACCATCGAGTACCACCTTCAGGTTTCTCGGGTTTTTCTGGGCCATTGTGTGGCCTGCCACCGGTAAATCCCTGCTCCAGGGTAGCTCATCGGACCGCTTCGAGTTCTCTCGGACCTCTTGGGGCGCTCCTGTGGCTCTGTTGGTTGTGTTTGGAGCTCTCTTGGAGTTAATGTTGGCCGCACTTGGAGCTATGCTGGGCGAGATAGGAGCCATCTGGACGCCTCCGAAGCCCATCGGAAGCGGTAAGTACCGAAAGCCCAATTCATTGGAAATGGTTGGTTTTTGAATAATGTTGGCCTCTTTGGGGCCGTTTGGGGGCTGTCTGGGACTGTATCGGGTCCCCCATCGGGGATATCACGGGGATGTTTTACGCTGTAGCGGGGCCACCTTGGGCCTGCTGACCCATGACTCTTCGCTCTTGGCCACTCTTGGGGCCCTCCTGGTGCACTCCTGGTGCTCTCTTGGGTGTGCTGGGCGCCCGCTTGGAGCTCTTCTGAGCTGCACTCGGAGCTATCATGTGCGGTCTCGGAGCCATCCAGACGCCTCGGATGTCCATCGAAAGCGATCTTGGGTCCGCCCTGGAAGTATTGAAAGTATTCTTCAAGTAGGCTCTGCTTAAGAGGTGCGTAAGTGGGTGCGGAGTCCTTCGCCCCAGCGTTGCTCGGGGTTACCAGGGGTTGCCCAGCGTTGCCTTGGGGGTGCTGGTGCAATGCCCTGCAATGCCAAGCCGTGCCAAGCCAAGCATCGCCAAACAATGCCACGCAATGGCAAGTTGTAGTGCAAAGCATTGCAATGCCATGCCATGCAATGCGAAGCAGCCCCAATCAACGCTAAGCAATGCAAAGGAACCCATCGCAATGCCAAGTAATGCCATGCAACGCCGAGCAATGACCAGCAGTGCCAAGCAATGCTAAGCTATGCAAAGTAGTGCCATGCAATTCTCAGCAATGCCTAGCAATGCCATGCAATACAAAGCAATGCCAAGCAATTCCAATCATCCTGTCTTGTTGCATCTTCGTTTTCTCTCCGCTGCGCGCGCGTCTCCTTCTCCCGCATCCCGCTCCATCCCTCTCCCGCTGCTGCTGCGCCTCCCGCCATATGCTGCTGCCCCCGCCCCCGCCCACTTGGACATGCCACGCACACGGACCGTTCCCCGCAGACAGCTCCATTTCTGCCGCCTGTGGGCATGCATGCATGCGGTTCCCGCGCCCACTTCGGGTCCGACTTACACTTTACTCGGACCGGTTGCGTTCCCAGTGTCAACTCTATGTGCAGCTGGCGCGCTTGCTTGTGGTCTCAGGGGGAGCTCCACTCCTGGCACCTGTAGGCGTGCTTGCATAAGGTTCCCCAGATTCACTTGCGGCCTCAGTGGGTGCGCCCGTATGCGGTTCCCGCGTCCATGTCGACACGCCCCTCACACAGCTCGTGCCCCTCAGGGAGCTTCACCTACTGCCTCGGCGCGTGCGCCTGCATGCGGTCCGCCCGCCTATTTCGACGAGCCCTCGCGCAGATCACGCCCCATAGGCAGGAAGGTCCAAGTATGGTAGGTTCACGTCGTGTCGACCTGCGGTGACCCCGCCGTCGGCGTTCAACGTTGAACGCCGCCGGCGACCCAGAATCGGCACATCGTTGAACGATCTGGCATTTCGGAAACGGCCAATCGTTCAAGGTTGAACGATCCCCGCGGTGTCAGAAACCAACGCCAGAGTCGGCACGACGCGAACCTGCCGTGCACAGATCGTTCCCCATTTATAGAGAGGTCCACAAGGGCCTCAGTGGGCGTGGTTCGCGCGCCAACTGTGGCACACCCTCCACGCGAATGACGCCCATAGGGAGCTCCACGTACGGCCTCAGCGGGCGTGCTTGCATGAGGTTGCCGCGCCCTTGCCGGCACATCCTTCGTACAGATCGTACTGGAAGGGAGTTCGCGTCCGCGTGCGGGCCTTTCGTTCGCACAGCCTTTCACTGGGATCAGCTTTCTCAGTGAGCTCCACCTGCAGCGCCAGTGGGTGCGTCTGCACGTGGTCCCCTAGACGTTTCTTAGGATGCAACTTCAGAATCCGCGCTGGTATATTCCTGGTCCAGAACTGGCCTAACCTGGCTTGATGCAGCTTAAGCCAGTGCAATCCCGCTGAATCGGGTCTCATCCCGCCCAAGCGGGCTCACTGGCCCCTTCATCGGGCTGAATCGCCTTTAGTCGTTCTGACGAAGACCTCCCAGCAGGAGTTGCCTGCCTCCTAATCCGACACGTGTTGCCACATCCCTCACGCGGATCGCGCCCCATCGGGAGTTCCACCTCCCTCCCCCTCCCCCGGTGTGCAGAGCGGTATGCGGCGAGAGGCCCACCCCTTGCGCTGGTCGCAGCTACACAGGGTCCAGCCTTTTCTCGAGGCTAATTCGCTGCTGTTTCTGGAAGGGTGTCTTGTGCCATGGCAGGCCCTGCGAGGCCCTCCTTGTGAGGCAGTGGAAGCCCAAGGTGGCCTTTCGGGGCTGCGTGCGCTCTTGGTTCGCCGGCCCCGCCGGGGTGGCGGGGTCCTTGCCCACGGCTCCCCCCCCTGGGAGTGCCGCAGCGGAGGCCCTGGCCTGTCGGTGTGGCCCTTGGGCTCTTCGTCGCCGCCCTCGGTGACGCCCTCGGCATTAGTCAGCCGAGGAGCGGAGAGTGTAAAGGTCAGGCTTTCACGGGGTCGCTGGTGGAAGACGTGCCACACACTGGGAGGCATCGGGATCTCCTTGACGTCCTTGGGAGACCTTGGGGCAGCTGGTGGTGGCTGGCCACGCAAGATCAGGGGACGCAACCACTGCGTTGCAACTTCGGGGGGCGGCTTCTGTCCTGAACGTGGCTGTCCTTCTCCACTTTCCGTTGTGTGTTCGGCGCAAATTCAGCGCGGATTCGACGCGGATTCGTGTATCTGGCGTGGACTCCAGGATGGGACGGACATGGTCTTCCGAATATGCGACCGAAGGATACGTCGACCCCCAATCGCCCATTGCTCGCCAGCCAGGGCCTGTGTACAGTCAACCCGCATAGTAAGGATGGGCAACCTTCCCAAGGGTACCTTGGCATCCTTCCCATTAGGCCCATCCTTGGCCGCTTTGCCTTCCAAGGCCCCTGCATCCTTACCGCGCATCCTTATGACCTTCTGATACAGGTTGATTGTACCTGCCCAGGAGCGTGCGGCTTCGACATCGGGGGCCAAAACGGCGACCGGGCCGCCGACTCCCGGTCAACGCTCCCCCCCGGACCCGGTCGCCCCTTCTAGCGTTCCCTGGGGCCTGGCATCTCTCGGACGTGTGCGTGTTTTTCTTGTTCGGCGGGGACCCTGGAGGGGCGCCCTGGACCATCTGGCAGACAGAGCGCGCGCGAGACCGAACACTGCACGGGGAATGGACGTCCAAGCGATGGAGAGGGGAGTCCCCGGGCGCCCTGTGGGGAAGGCCCAGTGGAGCTCTCGGGGAAGGCCGCGGCAGGCGGGGGGCCTGGGGGCGCGGTCGGCTGGCGCAGACTTG